TCACACCGTCAGAAAACATGAATGTTGGAATAATCGAGCCCCTAACTAAGTCATCAGTGTACTGTATTCGACCAACTTGGCCTTCGGATGGTGTACGGCGCTCGCTGATGGAAGACAAACCGGATTGACATTTGCAATGATCAGGCAGCCAACCGCCAAGCATGGATGGCGGCCATCAGAGACATTCATGGAGCCGGTTTATTCTTTCCAAGGAGCCAGCCATAGTAAACGAACAAACAAATTATCAACGTACAACAGGAAAAGTATCGGGCCTAGAACGGAGCCGTGTGGCACCACACTAGTGACTTTCTCCTCGATCGACAGTGCCTCCTACCCGAACCCTGAAGGTCCGCCTGTTCAGAACTACTATCCATTTAATAAGAGCCCCAGGAAGGCCAAAACTCGAGCTTTTAAGCAGTAATCAATGATTAACCGAGTAAAAAGCCTTTCTTAAGTCCAAGCAACAGACGTCGACCTTGTGGCCTTCATTCTAATTTCTTGTGGCTTCATCTAGGAAGCACAACAGGTTACTGAGACATGACCTCTTTTTGAGGAACCCATGTTGGGTCGGGGATAGGTTGTAGCGCGCAACATGCTCACCTATTCCGTCCTTTACAAAGGATACTAGTGAGACTAAACGGTCTGTAGTTTCCTGGCGCCTTACTGTCACCCTTCCTTATGTATCGCCACAACTGTCGCCGTCTTCCAGTCCTTCGGTATCTTTCCGAGTCTTAGGGATTTCTTGTAGATTGCACACACGGGCGCTGCTAAAACCTCTGCCAGTGGCTGGACGACGGTCAATACACAGAGAGCTCAGACCAACGATGTATACATACTATTTTAAGCATTCTGGTCTGTTAATAAGTGACAGCAAGATCACCACTGCTGTCGGTTTGCTGCAATGACCTTCAATGTCTCCAACCATCCGGCTACGTAGTCTTTTGGAACCCAACCTGGAGGACGAGAGACACCTGCTTTACCGATGGCCTCTGCGTGGCTTTCTCCAGTCTGCAACAGTCACTGAAAATAGGGTGCACTGTGGTAGACGACCACCAGACACGCAACGGAGCCTAGTGAGCTGAATTCGATGCGGTAGCTAATTTTTTTTCGATGCATTCTAAGACGGCCGACAACTTACCTCTAAGTTACTAACCCGTTCACTCCATCTCACTTGGGCCAGACTGAGTAGGCATAGATTGTCGGAAACTGTTGAACCACGGATGTCTTCTACTCGGTCTCACAACCTTAAGGCAGAACTGATCGTACAGCCGCTCAGTATACACAACTCTCTCTCTCTCTCTCTCTCTCTCTCTATATATATATATATATATATATATATATACACGACTTTTCAACTTCAATGAAACATCACGTCGCCGCCGCAGGTGCTTAAGTCCTGCGTACGCTACTTGAGCCTTGGAAACACGGGTCGATTATCTCCTTTGATGCGCTACCATCGTTGGTCATTCAGCTACCCAAGTACGAGAAGCAGTCAACTTCAACTAATTCCCGACCGTATAGTTTCAGAAAGGAGCTCGGTGACACCCAGTCTTTCAGTATGACTGCACTTTGAAAGTGCAAAGCGCATACCGAACGGAGCAACAGGACTTTCTAGTCTTTCAGGTGCGCTTTGTGCACCCTCCATTCATTTTTTAAAATTATTACACACTTTCGTGGGATGAACAGCAGACGGGGTGGAACCCCATGATCACGAGGACCTGCTGTTCAGTGATGGAAACCGGTAACCTAAGCCCCGGGACTTGGAGTGGTAAACCACATCAGGCCCCGATAGGTTGGGTGTGGTATTGAACTGGAAGACAGCAGAGCTGCCTACCACCAAAGTCGGGTGGCAGTGGCGGGACTTGAACAGGCAAACAGTGCCATCAGCATACTCTGGGTCGCACAGCTTTTCTCCAGCTGTCCATTTAATACCAACATTTTGGAGACCACTTAATGGGTTCTCCTGTATTTCGTGTAAACAACTCTGAGGTAAGGCGTTGTGTATTCGGTAATGGCTCAATAGAGAATCCATTGTCCCATCAAATTCAGGTTAGTCGGCTTCGCTGGTTAGGACACGTATTGCGCATGCCCAGCCATCGTCTGCCGCACCGCGCCCTATTCCCAGTTGCGGCCCCAGGTTGGAAGAACTCGCGTGGAGGTCAATAGATGACGTAGAAACGAGGCACGAAGAAATGCACAGAGCGATTAGGTAGAATAGGCGTCCCCTGTCTTCCAAGTTGGGATCCGAAAGACTGCGGCTGTCTGGTTGGAGACACTGAAGGATATGGTGACTAACCGACAGCAGTGGCGTTCTTGTTGCCATTTCTTATTAGGCCTAAATGCTTGAAAAGGTATGTGTGCATACTGAGATTGTGTACTCTGTGTTGACCATAAAGGTTCATTTTCTTTGCCTCCCCCCGATTAAGCCCAGTCTCCCCCCATCTTGTGCTTTATCACTTGATTTATCTACATTGTGAGCTTGGCAGCGATCAGTGAAGTTCGCTTCACTGTACGATTATGATGATATTTCGTTTAGGAAGAAATTAAAGAGGAATGACAAAATAGGGCATCCTTAACGAACATCGCTTTTAGTTTCGAACGATTTGCCCAGCCCACCGTAGACCTTTATGCGAGTGGAGTGAATTCAATATGTTCACTTCTGCGACATTCCTTTGGCAGGTGACCAGAACATTCGGCTTCCAGAAGAAGCGGTTAAATGTGCTGCTTTGCGCTCAGCAGAGCTTCTTAATCTTTTGTATGATGATTGACTAGTTGTTGCACGCTTGCAAGAATCATCGGCGGGAGCAGGTTGAAGGCGAAAGACCCTATCGGCGGAAAGCTTTCTCTTAACGAGCAGCTCGACAACAGGCATGGTCAAACCATTCTGGAGCCAGGGGCTTGCCGGGTTTAGTGAACTAAGGTGTGGAAAATTTCAAAGCCGAGAGGAAGATATAGGCGGAGAAGCGACAATCATTCCAAGGTTGGGAAGCTCCTAAGTTACGAAAGCTGCATCAATCAGCGGAACTGTCTCTCCAAGATGTGCATCTAGAATTGGGAGGAACAGTATAACGGATAATTTGGGCAGAGAGCAAAGTAAGACAATGGTCCGATGAGCCCGGGGAGGAATTGTGGCAATATTTGAAAACAATTATGGGTTGGAGGTGAAGACAAAATCGAGTGTATGAACGTGGCCGCCAGAACGGTTGAAAAACCAAACAGTTGCTGAAGGTTGTTCAGTAGGGAAAGTAATTTTGCTTCACAACCAAGGGGCGATATTCCTGAAAAGCGCAGCAGCCAGTCCCAGTTATGAATGTTAAAATCACCCGAAATTGCGAGCTGAGCTTTTTGTTCTGCTTCAACTATACTACTAATGTTTGCCGATAAAATATCAAAGAATGAAGAGAGTATACAGTGCAGGAGTGACTAGAAGAGAGGAACCGAAGCTTCAGCCACATAGTGTGAAACTCGCAGGAGAACGGGGTAGAAGAAAGTGAATGGTGGATGAAAGCACAAACAACAACTTTGCGGATGAGTGAAGTGTGAAGAGAATAATTGGGAAACTGAAGATGAGTGGTGTTTGTAGAAGCAGAAAGTTTTGTTTCGGATAAAAGTAGAGCAAGAGGGGAAATGGACTGAAGAAATTGATGTACAGAATCAATATCGTGGTTCAAGCCGCGAATTTTAGTGAGTACGATTTTCGTGTGAGAGTGCGCTTGAGGACACGTGAATTCTGCACAACGAATTCAATTTGAATAAACAGGCTGAATATCTCTAGCTATATAGAACCCCAGTCTCGTATAATTTTGAATAATTTTTTCAGTGTTGTCGTCTTCCATTCTTCCATTTAGACCCAACCGATATCGTACTTATTTATCTTTAAACGATTTGTTTGAAGAGAGGAGGCAGTCCGTGAACCTGACTCAAATATATTGTAATCGCAGTGACCTGATCGTTGGTTCTTAAATTTGGCCCTTTTGAACGTCGTGGTTTTTTCAGTTAGAAGGCCCCCTGTTGTCCTCAACAATGAAGCAGTTTATTCACTATGAATCCGTTCCACTGTAGAATATCGTTGTTCACCTAGTTGATTGAAAACATGTATTTCAAACGTCTAATATTTTATATTTTCATATGTCTGAATCCAGACTGTATGCCTAACGAGGCCTTATGTGGTTTACCACTCCAAGTTCCGGGGCTCAGGTTGCCGGTTACCATCACTGAACAGCAGGCCCTTGAGACTATGGGGTCCACCCCGACTGCTGTTCATCACGCATTGGTGTGTAATAAAANAAAAATCATGATACAATAATCTTTATAAGAAAGAAGACGTTCCATGATTTGCATGAGGGTGGAACACTGCCAGGTTGTTCAGGCCAAGACAAGTGAATCTTCTTGAGGAATCCACAACCGGAACCTTCGGCTAGTCAAAGCTTAACCCACAAGTCACCGGGACTTTGTGTGAAAACCGCGTTCCATTGGGGACTGAGGCCCATTTCATCCAATCATACGCCCTTCCGATGGGGTCAAACGTCCAGGGTGCTCAATACACCTTGACACCCAGTCGAGCCGGTGGCCACTGTCACAACNGTGATTCGTGCACCTCCTCTTGGTTAATTTTAAATCAGGGTTTTTAGCCAACTCCCTTAAGTGAACTGCCGGTGGTTCACCAACTCGGATATTGGATTTTGGTCCTCTCACTTTGATGTGAAAACACCTCCGTCACGAGAAGGCAATGAGTGTGGCTCCCTCGTCAGAGGCTGCTTTTGAGACGCCTGTTCGTATAGGAGCATTTCGGGAGGTGCAAGAGAAGGGTGATCAGCCAAAACCCAAGACACTCACCCCGATCATACTGAGACTGTCGGAGGCAATAAGGTGTTTAGTGACAAACTATACCATTTTATCTTTAAAAAACTTGCAATCATCGCATTGTTGACTCGGTGACCGTCACTTTTTCCTCATCTCACTTTAGCCTGTAGAACCGTTTTGAATTTCACGGAAATAGTATGCCTTTTGCTTCTTTCAAAAATGTGCAAAAGCGATATGCCAGAACGCACAAAGAGCGTTCCCAGGTAACATAACCTGTTCAGATTCTGTTTAGTACCGTCATTTATTTCGTCAGCCCGAACATCGCAAACATCTTGGTCTGCTTCCGAAGAAAAAGGACTTTGTTATCCGAGCGCGGTATTTTGTAGCACAACTTTTCTAACATGTTTTCTCTTGATCACCAGCGAGAAAGAGAAAAAAGACAAGAAAATAAAAGAGTTGCGACGACAGGCACTCACCCGGAACACCGACGAGTTCTATTTCAACATGTGCAACTCCGTTTTCGATGTACGTTTGTTCACTTTCTCATTATTACGATAAACTAGGCTGAGCGCGGGCATATCCCTCTGAATGCGGAAACCCAGTACACAGATTCCGATCTGAAAAACGCACTCTCAATGAGCGTGGCGCAGTTACAACATGAACTGCAAAAGGAACTTTCAAAAATTGGGCGTCTGGAATCTTCCACCAATCTGTTGCACGGAGAACATGATTTGCGACCTCGAGGTGCACCAGCTAGACACATCTTTTTCGCGGAATCCTCAGCCGAAGCGGCTGAACTCCGTGCATCCATCCGGAACGGTGACTTTATTCAACCTTACGGTTCTAGTGCTGACTTGCTGGAGGAACGACGCGCAGTGTACAAAGAGTTAGAGGAACGACTGGCAAGGGCCGAACAACTGAAGCTGATATTGAAGCAACGTGAAGCAAAGCAAAATCTGACGGTAAGAATTCTTTCGTTGGTTCAGTCTCGTTAGAGTTTTGTCTTACCCGCTTTAGTGTGATTTAGCAAATGAGAGCCAGTTCCTAAAGCCTTATTCGCAGGGAATTAGGGCGGTGTGTGAGCAAACCACAGTCCATTAGGGACCAGTTAATCGAATCATGCGTCCGTTAGACTAGATCAAACTTTCAAGATACTCACTACATCTCAATGCTAATCCAAGCCAGCATTCACTGCCTGAATCAGGCGGATACGAGTTGGGTTTATACATATACTCTTGGTTGGTTTAGAATCAGAGTTCTAGCACACTCCATTAGGTGAACTTCAGTGGTTCACTAACCCGGTTATATCCCCGGATGTTGGTTATACATCCTCCTACTTCGGTGGGAGAACACTGCCACTTGAAGGCAGTAAAAATCCTTCAGCAGAGAACTTTTGAGACACTTGGCTGTTTAGAGCATTTCGTGAAGACGCCCACATCCTATCACACTAATGCTCTCTAAATCACCCTGGGATGATAGGCTGTGGGAGAACTGAGCTATCTTTTACTAGCCAACTGTCGTTACTTGGATTCGAGGTTATGGGCTCTGTCCTCGTAACAGCAATTTAATTACCGGTAATACGAGCGTCCGGATTGGCTTTCACAGTAATACGTTCGACGATCCTATGAGCAATCACAAATCATGTTTCTCCCTTTGGTAGTAGACAACTGTTATATTTGAAGCATTGAGTTCCCCTTATCCATTTGATCAATACAGAAAGAAAACAAATGCAGCGGGATGTTAACGTTTCTTTTAATCTTCTCGATCACTGACTTTAAACAAATAGGTACATATCCTTTTATTATATACATAGTAGCACATAGAGTTGTTTGTTTTAAGTGGACGGTTGAGAAGATTAAACGAAATGTTAACAGTTCGCGACATGCATCTTCTTTCTGTATTAATGAACTTTCATATTGCCTAGTTTTTTTTTCATTACACGCCCTGGTGTGATGAACAGTGGAAGAAGTAAACTCTATTGTTAGGATTATCTATCGCTCGGTCATGAGAACCTTGGGGGAGTGGAATAACGTACCACTTCCGTTAATCTTTGATTTGTATGTTTCACATGTGATTGATTGACCCAAATACATCGGAAAGTCATTACGAAACCGAGACTTACTCTGGCAGAGTAAGCCTTTCACAATTTAGCCCCGTTTTTAGAAGAAGAAAAACTTGAGCTGCAAAAGATGGTTTGTTGTCCACGCATGGAGATGGTAACTAAACGGGGTGTGCAAGGGAGGCGAATCGGGAGTGTCGGTTCATGGCGATAAAGACCATGATAGTACGGCTGCAGTGAGTGAGGGGGACTCAGGATGGACAATTAAACTGAGGAAATGGTCGTGACGTTACCGTCAAGACGGGCAAATTTATGCAGTGGGACGAAACCTCGTCTACAATCAAGAGATGCCGTGAAAAGTAATGGTAATAATAGTTTTTTATTCTTTTTGGTTGAATATGCAATGGCATAATCGATTTTCAAGAATGAGGCGGATACAGAAGCGGAATAGTTGCACAATAGTGCCGGGGCTAGGACACGAGAGCCCTGGTCGCCGCCTTCCTATTAAGAGTAGATTGCCTTATCGCCTTCCATAATACATAGGGTTTGAACGTGTCATGGAACAGGAAAGAGACAATCTGTTGAGACAGAACGGAGGAAAAATTGGTACGCGCGTCATCCATTTGAAGAAATTTAAATAAGAGAAACATTTAGTTTCTAGAACTGAATAGACTGGTTCATTCGAGGACAGTTAACATCAAAAGGAAGCGGATTTTCGAATTCTTCGATCTGCTTATACTACTAGGCTACCAACCTTGAAAGAGTTCAAGTTTATTAGACTAATGCAATTCAATGCTGCCTCGTGAACTGTTTGCTGAAATGCCGGAAAAATGGATGGAATAAGGAGCAACCCAGCTAGTTGTCTTTGAAAAACGTATAAACGGAAATGGAAGTCAGGGTGGACTGTTGTCAATGAACAACAAGGCAATTAACAAACTCTTGGCACGTCTGAGCGCCGTCAGACTGGATAGAGATGGATAGTTTTCTGAAAAATTATAGATATATGGAATAAGATTTCCAGAAATCATAACCTTATTACAACGTTAATGATACGAGAATAATCACAATTTTGCGGTGTTCAAGTTCGCTAATTACCAGATGAAATGTTTATCGATTTCATGTCTTAAGTCGAAACAAATGAGCTTACTTTCGGTGCTTCACAAGGGGTCAAATATAGCACATGGTGTAGTAATCCTAACACGAGGATCAGATGAATGATAAAATGTTAAGAAGAACAAAATCATTTTGTGAATGATTTATCGACAAATAAGTTGTAACAACATCGGTATCGTGTGTGATGATTTTGGGATAGCTATAGCGTATCCTTGTGATCCTTATTGCTCGGTTGAATGTGAGGTCGAGTGAATGAACGTGTGTGCAGCTTACGCCACCCAGTCTTGTACCGATAGTGGGGTAGATTGTGTGCTAGCAATTGGTTTCTGAGCCTATAGATAGAGATAGCTCAGGCGGGTTACTATTGCCCCTGCGATATTTGACCTCTCGTCTTAGCCTTCTGTTAATAGAGTAAACTGATCAGAGGGCCCAGACCACGTTCAGCGTGCGACCAGATTTGATAGAGCTGTAGTCACCGTCAGTGATGGCGCAGTGGTTTATTCACTGTCACCGGTGTGCTTTGGACCTTATGGCCCGAGGTTCGAGCCCCGCCACCACCATCCTACTTTGGTGGTAGGCAGCTTTGCTGCCGCCCGTTCAATACCACACCTAACTTATCGGGGCCTTATTTGGTTCATCACTCCAAGCCCTGGGGCTTAGGTTACCGGTAACCACCACTGCGCAGCAGGTCCTCGTGACTATGGAGTTCGCCTCGTCTGATGTTTATCACACTTGGGTGTGTAATAAAAAAAGTCTCCGTTTCCCTGGTCTTTGGTTCGGTAAACTCAATTGTTATCCAGTGCGTGGAAATTTGCGATCTTGAAATACGGCTCACATCCTGGATAGGCTCTATCTCCCATTGCCTGATCCAACTATAGATGGCTTCAAATATGGAATTTCACCCGCTTACTTCAGTACTAACACCTACACCATAATGAGAAAAGGAATAGTGCTCTCTCCGTATATAGCCTGGGTAGATGAACTTCACGAGGGCATTGGAGTTCAGTTCAGTTCAGATTGTACAACCAATAATCACGCATATTCGTGCGCCGATTTTGGTTTGTCTTTTGGCTGCCTATTAGGATGAAGAATAGGAGAAAAAAGGAAAGTTGAAAGTGGAGTCGAACAGAAAATGCAGAAGTTCATTGGTCTAAGGTTGCAAAGAAATTGAGGAGATGCGCGAACGCCACTGTTTACGACACCCAGCAATATCACTCAGTGTCTCTAACCATCGGTTACGATCATCTCGAGGTCCCCAGCCAGGGAGCCTAACAGGACCTGTGTGACCCAGTCTCCGGGTCAGGGTTTTCATACCCTCATACCAGGTCTTAGCTTGGCCACTCTTGACTTTCTTCCACCCACTACTTGCCTTGGCGAACATCGCTCGCTGTGGCAACTTATCTGGTGACATGCGTACCACAATGTCCCAACCAACGTAATCCATGGAGGTCGATCACTTGCTCCAGTGGACGACCGCGAATACTCAAAACTCTACGCCTAACCTCAGCATTGTTCGACCGGCTGCCCCACCAGATTCGTGCAATGTTGCGTAGACAGCGGTGTTCAAACACCGACAGTTCATCTTTGTTCCGTTTTCCTAATGGCCAAGATTCTGCGC